GAGACGGATTAACACCATCATTGTCTAATTGTCAATGATTAGGATGATTACAAACTGAAGAAAATGTAATTCTTGTTTCTTTTTGATTTGTTACGTTGTTCAATACATAAGTAATGTTCTTGTTCTTTACTTGCCTTATAAGAGTGAAGGAATATTTAACTTGTTCTTTTCACTTCTCAGTTCTTAGAACATTAGTAATGTTCTTGTTCTTTACTTGCCTTATCTAAGAGTGAAGGAATATTTAACTTATTCTTTTCATTTCTCGATTCTCACTTTTTGTGTATTGTTCTTTTCCTCAAGTTTCTCATTTTTTTTTTTTTTTTTTGGAATGGATGGAAGTAGGCCCCTGTGCTAAAGAGCACAGGTTGAGGAGACATTTCAACACCCATTACCAAATAGCTTGATCCAATACCAAATCTCTTCTACAAGTTAGGTGACCTTTAGTCTAAACCAGAATATAACCCAAGTCTTGGCATCAGGCAACCATTGGTTAATAATATTTACTTTGGTATGCCAAAAAAACAAAAACAACATATTAAGAGAACTTTCAACTCCATGAAATTCAATTCCCAAATGGCATAACATGTAATTAGGCAAAGTATGAGTTATAACTTATAATGCAGACAGTAGAGCATTTACTACCGTAACATGTTTCCACTGAGATAAATTGTATTGAGAAAAATAACCCAAATAAAAGAATAAATAAATAAACTTGAAACTAGAGTGTGCAGAATAGCAGTAGAACCCAAAGATTTCATGGTAAAGAAAACACACACACACTACTATCTGATAGTATCCAGAAAAAAAAAAAAAAAAAAAAAGAATATGAGGCAGAACATCAGGTTGAACGACGCCGTTTTTGAACCATGGTCCACGATATAATTGCTGATTCACATCCTTAAATATGATTATAAAGTCAAGTTTTCCGACCCCACAATTCTCCTTCTAATAATTGAACACTCATTACTATGAAGGAAAATGAAATATATCTTCTCCCAAAATGAAATATATCTACTTTTGGGCAATGGATTCAACTTTTGGGAGAAAAAGAAGAAAATGAAATATATCTACTCTTGGGGCAGGAAAATGAAATATATCTAATCTTTGACAAATTTAATTGTATATGCAGACAGCAGACTTAAGTCTTCCAGCTACTTTCCTTCTAATCAACATTGCACACTTGTTGAGGAACAATTCCAAAAGGAAAATGGCAGTTATATTTGACAATGTTAGCTTTTACTTTGGAGCCTGCTATGAATTATATTTACTTTGTCTCACAATTATTGAACAAATACCAATTTTAGTCCAACGAGTATTGATAAAATGACGGTTTTGATCCACATGTTTAATTTCTACCAATTTGCATCCACGACTATTGTTTTAGTACCAATTTTAATCAACGACTATTATTTTAGTACCAAAATTCATCTCGTTGGTCACCCATTTATTTAAGACATCCCGAAATCTAAAAATTTTAAGGGCATTTTCGTCCTTTTCAACTTAAGATTCCAATTTGAGCATAAATAAATTAATTTAAGCCCTAAGATCGATCTCAATTCGCAGTTCTCCTCTTCATCCTAAATTAATTTGAGGAAAAAAAACTACGAATTGAGATAGATCTTAGGGATTAAATCACTTTATTCATGCTCAAATAGGGATCCTAATTTGAAAAGCACGAAACTACCCTTAATAATTTTATATTTCGGCATGTCTTAAACGAATGGGTGACTGGCGTGATGAATTTTAGCACTAAAAGAATAGTTATGGATGAAAATTGGTACTAAAACAATAGTCGTGCAGTGGATGAAAATTGGCACGAATTAAACATATGGACCAAAGCTGTCATTTTGCTAATACTCATGGGACCAAAATTGGTATTTGCTCCACAATTATTTGTTTCACTTTCAAATTTGATATTCAAATATTATTTCTATCACATTTAACGCACATATTTCAATTTTTTTGTCACCTTTTGTTCATCCAACCAAATCTCTAGTAGTCCCTTTAAAAAAAAATAAAAATTCTCTAGTAGTAAACAACACTACAAGAAAAAATAATTTACGTAGGGAAAAATCTGTTTGTACATTACTAAAATTTTTAGGTATTTAATTTATTAACATATATCTATTGATAAAAGCTAAGATGAAAATTTGTAAGTATTTAAGTTGTAGCTATTTAATCCGTTGCTAAATAAATTTGTATTTTGCTATTTCTTGCAGTGCAATATGAATGCTTCAATTTTTTAGTTCAGAACCATACGTTTTCTTCCAAAAGGTTTGATGTGTTCGCATTCTATTTAAATGTGGTCATATCTCCCCATAATGCCGTGAACCGATTTTTTATGGAGTCAGCGTATCCATTATATCCCTCTCAGGGACTCTAAATATTTGAGACAACAATTGGAGGTTTTGAGATACGCTATGGTGGTGATATGATAGAATGGACTGCATGCATAAGAATAGAAACACATAATAAGAAATGTTTGATCTAAAAACCATGTCTTGTGTATGGGGGAATAAGATCTGCAGTGGGCTGGCTAGAGTCAAATTATATCAGGAATTCAGGAGCATGCAATACTGCCTTTCCCTATTAGGTAACTGGCAAATTGGAGAATAATCGGGAAATTAGACATTATCCAATATTATTCATCCATTCGCACATGTTAAACACACGACTCATATTCGATTATGTAATTCGTGAAAGACGAATAACACATGTATACTGATTGGGCGAAAAACATGTGATCGAAGTAGGTTATAACTAGTTGAGCTCCTTGTTTTCTGTCGCTTAACAATTTGGGTTATGATAAAGTATTTTAAGTTATGAATATTTCCAGTTTTGTGATAAAAATCAATTCACTTATGGCCCGTTTGGTTCACGGAATAGGCCTGGAATGACATAGCATTCCCAGTAATAGGCCTATTCCGTTGTTTGGTAACCATTTCTATTACCAGGAATAATATTCCTGGTAATAGCCTATTACCTCAAATAAGGTAATAGCTATTACTAGGCCCCCCCCTGGTATTAGCCTATTACTGAACGCTCAGGAATAAATTTTAGAATCTATTTCCTTTTTTTACCCCTTTCTTTAACCTAATTTTTTTTTATCATATATATAAATTTATCATATTTCACCACCGTCGTTGCCGCCACCACCATCACCGCCGCCGCCACCACCACCATCGTCGCCGCCGCCACCACCACCACCACCACCATCTCCGCCGCCGCCGCCACCACCACCACCATTGCCACAACCGTCACTGCCCCCACCACCGCCGCCGCCCCCACCACTGCCACCGCCGCCACTACCACCACCGCCACCGCCACCACCGCCGCCGCCGCCGCCACCAGAACCACCACACAGCAGCACCACCGCTACCACCACCACTGCCACAACCGTCACCGTCAACACCACCACCGTCGCCCCCACCACTGCCACCGCCACCACCACCGTCACCATCACCACCATCACATATTTTTATAAGGGTATTTATGTCTTTTAAAACATATTTCATTTCTATTCCTTAAATCAACCAAACACTGTAATATAATTCCTAAAGTCTATTCCTTCCGCGAACCAAACAATAGAATACAAATCCTATTCTATTCCTTGCCTATTCTATTCCTTATGGAATAGCATTCCTATTACCTCAAAATTCATTCCGTGAACCAAACGTGCTGTTAATGTCTCCAAATTGATGGAGTAAAAGTGAAGCTCTACTAGAGCCCACAAAGGAAACCTTATCAATAATGAAAGGGAGAATTTAAAGGTTTGTATATAAAGATCATTCAAAAGGGAAAATAAGAAAAAGGAGGTCATCATCAATATGACCAACAAGAGCGTTTGCTTCAGGCAATGCAACTTGATTAGATTCAAAATTGTAACGTTCATTTAGATTTCAACAAAATACTTCGGAGTGTGACACACTCATGATCAGTGTCTTTTACATCCACACTTGAAGCATCGAGGCCCTAATCTACTCCTGACCACTTAAGGGCACACCTGACTAGGTACCCTACTAGGGGTATCTATTAATTATAAAGTCAAGTCTTCTGACCCCACAATTCTCCCTTCTCATAATTGAACACTCATTACTATGACGGAAAATAAAATATATTCTCTCCCAAAATGAAATATATCTACTTTTGGGCAAGGGATTGACACACTCCTAGGATTTGGGTAGGAAAAACACAGAAGCAGAGATAAAGAAGAAGAAGAAATTGGTGGGGATTGAGAAGAAATTAGGGTAAGAAACTAGGGTTTGATTTCTCAAATATCATAAGCATAAAAAACATCCTTAAAAAACATCCATAATATAAAAACAACTATGCTAATACATCCAAGAATTCCCATAACAAACTCCAAATTTTCAGGCATCTGCAACACTCCGTCCATCCTTCATCAATACGTCATCGCTTGAGAGTTCGTCTCAACTGCGCAGCTGGAACGACGTCGTTCTGTTCTTTCTTCAAACGGCTTCCAACGGCTACTGTCATACGGCGTCGTTCGAATAAGTAACAACGGTTACTTTGGCTTAATTGCAAACGACGCCGTGTTGGTCCCTCAACTTCTTTCGATTTCCCTCAATACTTAGCTTCTGAGAATGGCACTTCTCCTGCACCTTAATCTCTCCTTCAGCCTTCAAATTCTCTCCTCCAATGTTCAAGGTTGTGACAGGGATTCAACTTTTGAAAAAAAAAAAAAGAAGAAAATGAAATATATCTACTTTTGGGGCAAGAAAATGAAATATATCTAATCTTTGACAAATTTAATTGTATATGCAGACAGCAGACTTAAGTCTTCCAACTACTTTTCTTCTAATCAACATTACTGTTCAGCTCTATTTAACCTCTTCCCGGCCGATAGCCTCATTCTCTCAATCATTAAACAAATACTCCTTACTTTTGCATTATATATATATTCCACTACCATCACTCACCATACAAATATTTATCTCTTTAATGTGTTTCCATGGGGAGATACATACTTTGTGAGCACTTCCTCTTACTCATCATCCTGCCTTCCTTTTGCATATATGCCTGGAAACAATAATATTACAGATCAGCATGCACTGCTAGCATTCAAATTAAAGCCGGTATAGTATCAGATCCATTTAAACTCACAGCGTCGTGGAATGAGTCTACCCCATTTTGTAAATGGGTGGGAATAACATGCGGTCACAGACATCAACGAGTTGTCAAAATGAACTTGACCTCGAGCAATCTCCAAGGCTCACTGTCTCCCGCAATTGGGAACCTAAGTTTTCTTAGGGTGATTTTGCTGAATAAGAATGGTTTTACTGGTAGAATCCCAAGTGAGATAGGCCAATTATCACGCCTACAAATATTAAACCTTGCAAACAATTCACTTTCCTATGAGATACCAAACAACATATCACAATGCCGGTTGCTGAAACTACTTCATTTAGGGGGTAACCATAATTTAACAGGCGGACTTCCAGTCGAGTTCCAATCTTTGTCTAAGCTTCAAATCATGTATGTTTACTTCAATAAGTTAACAGGAAAGATACCTCCACAGTATGGCAACCTCTCCTCACTCATTGAGTTCTCTATAGATGAAAACAATCTTCAAGGAGTAATCCCAAATTCTTTTGGTAAGCTCAACAAGTTGAGGTACATCTTACTCCGTGGCAACAACCTCTCTGGTATGCTTCCTATATCTCTTTCCAATCTATATATCATTTGTGGTAATTGAACTTCAAAGAAATCAACTCGAAGGATGAATAACACAGTTCCAGTATTAGAGTTTTTAAGTGTTGCCCACAATCACTTTATTAGCCATATACCATTTTGGGTATCAAGTGCTCCAAGAATTGAAGTGATTGATCTTAGCGACAACCATTTTACTGGAGAAGTACCTAGTTTTGGAAGCTTAACCAACTTGGAAACCCTTTTGTTATATAAAAACGAGCATCTTGGAAGTGGGACATCTAGAGACATGAGATTATTTATAGCATCACTAACCAATTGTACTCATTTGGACTATCTTGAATTTAATGATTGTAATTTTGGAGGAGATCTACCACCATATATTGGTAATATCTCAAGTCTCAGGTCTTTAATCATGGGAGATAACCACATAATTGGGAGGATCCCTGTTGAGATAGGTCAACTCATCAACTTGGAACGATTAGGGTTCATGGGTACCCAGATGAGTGGAATTATTCCAAACACTATAGGGAAACTTCCGAATTTGTTTCAATTGATCTTTGAGAGGAATAAATTGTCAGGAGAAATTCCAGCTTCATTAGAAAATGTAACTTTGTTAAGTATCCTCAAATTAGGTTCAAACAATTTAGAGGGGGTTATACCATCAGGTTTAGCCAAATGCAAGTTCTTACTTGAAATGGACCTTTCTAAAAACAATCTCAGGGGATACATCCCAAAACAAATTTTTCATCCAGGTTCACAACTTGTATACCTAAACATCTCACACAACAGTTTTAAAAGCCCTCTTCCTTTAGAACTTGGTGGTTTAAAAAGTTTGACCATTTTGGACCTCTCAACCAATAGCTTTTTTGGTGAAATTCCTCCAACATTTACTTCTTTCACAAGTATTGAAACCCTAGACCTTTCTTCTAATCACATCACAGGGGAAATCCCAAGCTTTCTAGCAAACCTTAGTTTGTTAACATACCTTAACTTGTCAAACAATTATCTAGAGGGAGAGGTACCGGTTGGAGGAATTTTTGGAAACAATTTTAATTCTAGTCGAGTTTACCTCGAAGGTAATAGTAAGCTGTGTGGGGGTGTTAGGGAGTTACATTTTCCAAAATGCACCACAAAAGAAGTATCACAAAAATCCAGGATGTCCCTCGGGTTGAAGATTGGAATATGTATTTCGTGTGGGATTTTGGCATCGGGTTTGGTGACTCTCTTCATATGGAATTATTTGCATAGAAGAAGAAGAAGAAGAAAGGAGTATACTTGTTCATTGGAGAACCAAACAAAAATCAAGACCATGCCTATAGTGCCTTACAACAGCCTACACAAAGCAACCAATGGTTTCTCACCACAAAATTTAATTGGCTCTGGAAAGTTCAGCTTAGTGTACAAAGGCAATCTAGATGAACAAGGAAAAGTTGTTGCTATAAAGGTACTCAAATTGCAAGTGAAAGGAGCTTCAAAGAGTTTTGTAGCAGAGTATGAAGCATTGAGGCATATCAGACATCGGAATCTAATAAAGGTTGTATCGTTGTGCTCCAGCATTGATTATCAAGGCAATGATTTCAAGGCAATTATTTATGAGTACATGGAGGAGGGAAACCTGGAAACCTGGCTGCATCAGCCTTCAAAATCAATCGATGACAAAAAGACACATTTGAGCTTGTTGGAAAGAGTAAATATTGGAATTGATATAGCTTGTGCACTTGTTTATCTTCATGCCGAGTGTGTAACACCTTTAGTTCATTGCGATCTCAAGCCAAGCAATGTTCTATTGGATCGTGACTTTGTTGCTCATGTAAGCGACTTTGGATTGGCAAGGCTTCTTCCACAGGCTGCACATTCGAGTTCTATGGGAATCAAAGGAACTTTTGGATATGCTGCTCCAGGTAATCAACTTCAAATGAGTCCACCCCTTCCCATGAGCCGTGTGGGCAGATCTGGTCCATTAAAAACTAGTAGTCAGATTTGGTCCATTATCAACTGTGTAACTGTGCAAGTGCAGGCCAATTCTCTAGCTTTTAATAGACCAGATCTGTCCATACAGACTTGTGGGAATGGGTAGACTCACTTGAACAGTGGCCAATATATATAATTATTATGAATATGCTATTGTCTAAATTAAACTATCTTTCAGAGTATGGCATGGGAAGTGAATTCTCCACATTCGGTGATATGTACAGCTATGGAGTACTCTTGTTGGAGATATTTACTAGAAAAAGTCCGACCGATGATATTTTCATTGATGGGCTAAATCTTCATGAGTATGTTAGAATTTCCATACCTCATAGAGTCATGGAGATTGCTGATCCAACACTGTTATACAGAAAGGAAGACAGTTGGAGTAAGAGCAGCTCTCAGATTGGGCATGATAGAGTTGTTGAAATACTCCTTTTGGTCTTCAAGATTGGGATTGCTTGTTCAGTGGATTCGCCAAGAGAAAGGATGGATGCTTGCACTGCCATGAATAAACTGCTGGCAATCAGAGGCAGCCTTCTAGGACTAGGAGCATGACAACTATTCACATTTAATTTTAAAGTTTCTACCCTAAACATTCCAAATATTTTGTATTTGCACTTTCATTATTAATTAGTATATTCATTCATTTATACTGATAATTGTATTGAGAAAAAATTACCCAAATAAATAAATAAACTAGAAACTAAAGAATGTGCAGAATAGCAGTAGAACCCAAAGATTTCCTGGTAAGGAAAAACACACACACACTATCTGATAGTATCTAGCAAAAAAAAGAATATGAGGCAGAACATCAGGTTGAAGTATACTAGAATTCCAACCATTTAGTGAAGTATATGCATGTTTTGGGGGAGATGAGTCCATCAGGTGTACACTCGCTAATCCTCGGGCAAACACCACAAGGAATTGACGCCATTGCGCCAACCGTTTTTGGACCTGTCCCGGTGGCTGCGCTGGCGATTCTATAGCAAACTGCACCAACTGGAATAGAATGATACTCGCCCAATCCGGTGCTCTTTACCTCTATAATTGCATTGTCCAAGACCATCGAGCGCAGGATCTCTGATATCTGTCCGATCGTGCAGTTGATAGCTTTCTTGTCCTTGAGGAAATCGAAGATTCCCTGCGCAGTTGTAACTTGCAGTTTGTTTATGACCTTGAGGCACGTCTCTTTGAGAATATTGATGAGTTCTTTATCGAGATTTCCCTCGTTGTACCAGGCACCACCAGTGAGCTCTTCTGACGGTTCAAACTCCACTGCCATGTAGTGCTTCCTCGCTTTGTTTTGTATGTTTTTAACCTGTTTTATAAGGCTCTTTTTCACGAGTGAAGCCAGGGATTTATCGACCACGGCTGGTTGAAGCTTCGACTCTCTCTTGATGTCTGCTAACCATATTCCGAGATTCTGTTTGCTTTTGATCAAATTGAGGACTACGCTTTCAGCATCTGCCAGAGGCTGAGAAGGTGAAGCTCCATCCGGTTTTCTTCCCCGCTTCATTTCTGTGCCAATACAGTGGCAGTAGGAGAAGAGTCAGACAACATTGCAACTCGACATTCAGCCCAAATAATATTGTAGAAGATAATAATCCAGTGAATGATAAATCTTGAATAACACAAAATAAATTTATGATCCAAATAAGGATGCCAACTTTTATCCATCCCACATAAAATTTGTGCAGGTCCAAGAAAAACATGTTAAGAACATGATTTTACAAAACGGAGACAGTAAAGCCACCTCTAAACTTCTTAATTTCATAAGAAATTTCACACAGAACATATTATAATAGATACAACACCACAAAAAGTCAAAAACTTTAGGTGTACAATTGTCAAGTGCAAGAAATCACAACAAATCTAACAGCAAAACGCAGCATTCAGATCTCCAAAACTAGCATGAAGTATGAAAAATGAATCAATATTCATTATTCACAGTATACTTTTAGAGCATATAGTACGAAGCTAGTTGTCTTAAATTAATCAAGGAAAGCAGCAAATGTTCGAAGACAATATACTTATATACATACAAATACAATAGGAAAATACATAAAACAACAACAACAAAAAAAGGTTTGAAGATTGAAAATTTAGGGCAAACTAATTAAGAGACTAAGGTTGAAGATTGGTTTGAACCTGAGCAATGGGCTGTGGAATTGTAGTGATAGCGCTGTAATGGTGAACAGACGGAGGAGAATAGTGGACGAGCGGACGAGCGGAGCAATGGGCTGCGAAATGAAGAGTTGTGATGGTGATGATGAGAAACATAATTAGAAAAATTAGGGCACACTGATTAAACTCCGATTCACTAATGGGATAAGTTCAAAACTTAGGGCAAACAATTGGGGTGCGACCGGAGAGAACAACGAACCTGAGGCGGTGAGGTCTGAGCGACTAAGCAAGAGTAGCCGAGCAGGCAGCGACGGTTGAAGACGAAGCCGGTGAGATGCGAACGGTGGAGGGACCGGAGAAGGAGATGGGAACGGCGAGGATTTTACTTTATAAATTGTCTTAATTATTACGTAGTATTTACCTATAATTTAGACCAATTATTATGGTCTTAAAATTTCACATTGGGCTCAATCGTTATATATATTATGGACCAGGGGCAAATTTTACTGTGGACCGCGGTCCACAATGTATTGTAGTCCAGGCATTAAAACGATGTCGTTTTGTTAATGAAAAGAAATGGTACCCGTTTTGCATCGTTTCGCAAAAAGTAACTCTGTTATTCAGTTTCATTTTGTATACACTGCAGTTTCATTTCAACACAACTACAGTATCATTTTAATATAACTACAGTTTCGCTGGACAATATACACTCAAATATGTGAAATTGTTATTCAGTTTCATTTTGTATACACTGCAGTTTCATTTCAACACAATTACAGTTTCAGTTCAATTCAATTGCAATTTCATTTGATAATATAAAAATAATACGTGAGACAATGTCAGTTTAGATACACTATATTTTCATTTGGTAATTAACATATAAAAAATATGTGTTCCGTTAAGCTGTAACGGCTGTCGTTTCTTTACTTAAAAAAAAGGGCGTCGTTTTTGGACCATGGTCCACAATGCTTTGTGGACCGCGGTCCACAGTAAATTGCTGATGGACCAGGACTTACTATGTGCATTGTACATTTTTCAATTGATATATTTGCGCTTAACATAATATTTACTTAACATAATATATATGTTTAATTTATTTAAAAGTACATAATATGTCAATTACATGTTCATAATTTGAATCATGGTTCACAATAACATGGTCGACGACCCTGATTCACAATACAATTTGTGCATAAAATTAAAATCATCGAAAACTTATTATTTAAAAATTTAACTTGATTGGCGTGAGTGCTCTCATCTCTTAAAAGAAGTGACATATATATGAAGACTCATGGAGGAAATTTAGGAGAATTTGATAAAATGACTAATTTATCCTTTAATAATTTGGAAATTCAAAATAACCTCTTTTAAAAATCAAACTCTTATGGGGTGTTTGGTTGTGAGAAAGGAATTAGGAAGGAAATGAATTGCAATTCGATGGGAAAAGAATAAGGTATTAATAATGTAGGAATTCAAATTACATTATTTGGTATGGATGAATAGAATTATTGAGAATGAGAAGGAAAAAAGTTGTATAAAGACTAAAATATCCTTATGTAATAATAATAATAATAACAATCACCATAGATATTTTTGTCATTTCTTCTATTTTATTCCTTTCCCACAAGCATTGAATTGCAATTCAACAAAAGGAGAGGATTGCAATTCCGTTGAATTACAATTCCCTCCAACCAAACAATGTAATTGATTGGCAATTTATATCGTGGACCAGGGTCACTGTGGACCCTGGTCCAATACACAGAATTTGACTTCATAATGTACATAATTTATATTCATAATACACATATACATAAACACGATATAATGAAGACATATAAACACTTCACTTAACATGATACATGTTCATTATATCATGTTTGACAGGATAATGGTGCTGGCACCCGACCCGGATCATAAGACCCGATACCATATTTAACCGGACACCGCGTGGAATTTCAACAGGCAGAACTCCAACGGGCAGAACACCAATGGGTGGAAACATTATGGCCATTCATTGCATTGAAGGGAGAGAATTAAAGCCTGAGCGCCTCATTCATGATTCTTCATGCTATTGTCGTTAGCCTCAGCTCCCCAATTATGACACTTCATGTTGTTACCGTTAGGACCTAGCATAAATAGAACTCCCCTCAGCTAGCAAGGGGGAGGCGATACACTGTATTTTCTATACTAAGGCACTAAGGAAATACAACTATTGTTACTCTCTCACATAGCGTTATTCTAGTATTATTATTACCGGTAACATATTTACCGTCATTGGTGCTTTCATTGAGAGCCTGAGTTCAACACTCAAGCAGGCGACGACACACACAACTCATTCCTCTTTCAACAGCAAGCTTGAAAGAATGGTGTCCCGCAGCTCCTATGGTTCCCGCAATGTGAACAATGATAATGCCTCAGGTGACCTCCGGGACCAACTCACCAACAATCACGGAGGGGACCTCCAAGAACAGCTCAACAACGGGAGGCCCGGGGACCTTTGAGACCAACTCAACAATGGAGGGGACCTTCGAGACCAACTCAACAATGGAGGGGCGAACCAAGTCGTGAACCTCCAGGCGACCATTCAGCAAGCAGTGACGGCGACGCTAAATCAAGTGGCGGTGGGACTGCAAGGCCAAGTGCCCCCGCCGCGGCCCCAGGAAATAGGGGTAGAGACCCAAAGAAGTGGACCGACCAGACGACAACCAGGCCGTTCCCAATCTGCGCCAGAACGATTGGGACAGATGGCGCCCGTGCGGCAAAGATTAGTATCACGGGCCGAGGGGTCCTCTACCAGAGGCCCTCGCCAACACGAGAACAGAGAAGCCGAGAGATCACCCACAGAGGAGGTGGGCAAGTCTCGGGAGCCGACCCCACGCCGGCACGTTGATGAGTCGGCCCTACGTCGGCACTCGGCGGAGGAGCGACGCGCTGGTGAGCGGGTTCCACACCGACACTTGGATGAACGGAACGTCGAGGAACCGGCTCCGCGTCGACACTCAGATAGACGGCACGTTGATGAACTAGCTCCACGCCGACAAAGGGAGGAGCGGCAGCCGGCCCTGCGCTGGCACCTTGACGAGTCGGCCCTGGTCGAGAGGCTGCAGAGAAGAATCGAGGAGTTAGCAAGAAGGGTGGAGGCACGGGAGCAGTCGCCGGAACCCGAGGTACGGATGACAGCACCATTCTCCCCAAGCATCACGGACGTACCTTTGCCGAGGGACTTTAGGTTGCCCGCCATCAAGTAGTACACGGGGGCCACTGACCCACGTGTCCATAGGGCTGTGCATCGGACGGGTTCGGGCGGATCGGTTTAGAGAACCGTTCATCCGCTCGAATTTCGGATTGGGGAAAACTACCCCAATCCGTTCGATTAAGAGGGAAATCCTTTCGAATTTCCCATGTTCGGATACGGTCGGGTGGGGGTCGGATTTCGGTTTGAAGTCGGATTATAAAACATACCAAAAAAAAAAAAACTGTAAAAATGTTCAAACTTAATAACCCTAAACTAAATTACCAAAGCTATGTAGGCATTTAGATACATAATTACATATTGCAGTTTCCAACTGGTGTTCAAAAAGCAAAAATGAAGTTCACAAAATGAGAAAATCAACAATTCTCAAACAACACTAAACTACTAAGTACTAATTACTAAAGTACTCAGCAGTCAGCAATCAGCATTAGTCACCATTCACCAATCAGCCTTCAGCAATCAGCATTCATCCATTCCTCATCTTCCTGCTCAATTATAAAACCATTAAAGGCTTTAAACTTTAAAGCCAATAAAGACAAAGAGAAGTAGAGAACTAATAATAATTAATAAGAAAGGCTCAGATTGCTTTTTTTCATATCATTTTAGAGTTGGGGGCAAATTGCTTCATGAGTTTTGTCTCAGAGAAACATACCAAACACCAAAGTCCTTTTAATTCAGACAAATGGTGGAAGCATCATCATAGCCATAACTAAACAGAAATGAGAATATGAGAGGAAGGGAAGTGATATACCAGAATTCCAGAATACCAGAGATGTAACTGAGTAAGGGCAGCAACATTTATAAAAAAGTTACCAAGCCACTTAGCAATTAGCAGTTCTGGAATCTTACCTGAGTTGCCTCAAAGAGTCCACACATTTATCAATCAAACTAAATAGAAAGTCAGAAAGAAATGTTATATAAAAGTATTACAGCAATTGTTGGGAGTGTTCCAACAGTACTTGGTAAAGAACCAGCAGCTCCAGTGGACAATTCTGCGCAAAAAGGAAAAACAAAAAAGAGTTTAGAAAAGGTAACAATTAACAATTTATAAAGTTAAAACCTAGAAAGTTAGAAAATAAAAACAGTACCCTTCTCTAATCTTTCAACATCATCCAAGTTTTCCTCAACAGAGATTGGATGATTGGGTGCCCTCAACCAATCTTGTGCACATACTAGGGCTTCAACAATTTTAGGAGTTAAGGAACTCCTAAAGGCATCTAATACCCTACCACTAGTACTGAATGCACTCTCAGAGGCAACAGTTGAAATGGGAACAGCCAGTACATCCCTTGCCATTCTAGAGAGTATAGGAAATCTATCACTGTTGACCTTCCACCATCTTAGGACATCAAAGTCCACATTTTCTTCATCTTCCACTAATTTTTCACTTAGATAAATCTGGAGTTCAATTTCTTTACTGCTTCCACCAGTCTCCATTCTCTGTTTTTTAAGCTAGCTTTTCATTCTAGCCTGAGGTTTTCCAACTGAAGTTTAAGAATGGACAGGTTCAGATTGGGTAGATTGCACAGTAGGGGATGCAGACTGCACATGGTAGGTGGCTGTATAATCATTAAACAGCAGAACCATAGAAGATTGAACCTTTTCAAAGCATGATTTTCCTTTTTCATCACCATATAACTGGGCAAATTGGGCAGGCATGTACTCAATCTTATCCCTAGGATCCAAAATATTGGCATAGAATATCAAGAAGTTCATTTTTTCAGGATCTCCCCAATATTTTTCAAATTTTTGTTTCATATGGGACCCCATTTCCTAAAAAACAGACATAACACAGAAAAAATTAACACAAAGTCAAACACAATTCACAGATGCATACAAACACATTCAGAAAATGTTAACAATTTACCTTTTCAGAGGTTGAAACAGAGTTAACCATGTCATCCAGCATGCAACCTAAGTCAGAAATCTCATAAAAGAAAGTATTTGAAGTGACATAGAGAGAACCAGATATTCTCACAGTCATCTCATAGAAGCCTTTCAGAAAATGGACTAAGCTTTGCACAGAAAGCCAATCCATAAAATTTGGAATAGAATCAGATAAGTCAGCACTCAATGAGGAATCATTCTCATAAGCTTCAAATGCCCTCTGGTATTGAACGGCAGTGTTGAGCATCATGTATGTGCTGTTCCAT